TTGGTGGCCATACGTTCGGTTGCGTATTGCTTCATTTCAGGAATGCCAATTTGGACTTATACGTATTATATTTATTTTGTTTCGCGCGATTTTTGTTGAAGATCTACCGAGAATTTTGTTCTCGTATGGGATTATAATCTAACAAACCAACCCGGCAACCCTGTTCGTATACTCCTTATAAAGTTTTTATCGGCCTAATTCCTTTGTCACCGCCGCCGCCGACCGACCGGTCGGTGTCGGCGCGACTGGAAGGAAGATCGTACAGTATTGCCGTTTCATAGACTTGCACTTGCTATTTTTCGGTGATTTGAGTTCATGTGGTTTTGTTTTTAGAAAGAAGTTGCTATGTGTCTGGAAACATTCTTAAAATTGTTTGGTACTTCATTTAAGCCAATATTTCTATTAAATTAGGCAGAATATTAAGGATTAGAGATTTAGGATTTAGGATAAGCCAACATAATTTTGATTTAATTTTTTTTTTTTTTTTTTTTCTTTTTCTATTTTTTCGATTCTATTCAATGGTAACCAGTAGACCCGCCCCTCCCGCAGAGGCCTTCGATAAGCGTCGCTTTTCCTAGTCGCTTTCTATACAGTAGTAGGGAAAAGACCCTTTATCCATCTCTGTTGTACTGCAGTATATTTTGCAGCCTTACCATATTTTTTTATCGCACTGAAAACCTCCTATTGCTAACAGAATTTTTGCCACGTGTATACACTGAGCTATAAACGGTATGGAAATGGAGTAGATTTGGTATCAATTATCAGGCCCAGTAATTTATGTTGTTATTTTTTTTTTTTTTTTTTTTTTTTTTTTTTTTTTCTTTGTTGTTTTAAAATATCGAATAATTTATTTTATATATTTTGTGTTTTTTTTTTTTTTTTTTTTTTTTTTTTTTTTATTTTATTTTGATTTTCCAGTATTTATTTTTACTGAATAAACATTTTAAAATTACAACCAATGCACAGCATAACTTGCATTCTAGCTTCTTTACCGATGATGAGCAGTGCCGTTTCTAGTATATAGGGGGCCACGGGCCTGAGGCAGCGAAAGGGCCCCTCGGATCTTGGAACTTACAAAGGTAAAGATGTTTGTAGCGCCTCGGAACGTGCGTAACATGACACATATTATGTGAATTATGGTATTTCATTCGCGTGGTACAGGTACATTAATTCTGATAAAATGTATATGTATACACAGGAATTAATATAATTAATTCTCGCCAGCAAAATTATGTTCAATAATTTAATACCTTTAATTTATTACAGTTGGGGTTGGAACCTTTGGTGTTATAACAGCAAAATAAAACACTAATTCACCACAATAGACGAAAAGACTTTAATTTTGCACTTACTTGTTTTATTACATCAAATTGCATTCGTTTTTCGATTTAAAAATATTATTATAAGCTTTGAAACATTGATGTTATCGTTTTTGAGGCCTTTTTAGAGCTGGGGCCCTTAATATTCCGGGGGCCAGGACCCATTAGGTCCCTACGTAAAGATGGCACTGCTGATGAGTAACATATTTATATCTATATGGATTTTTATTATAATTATTACAGTATACAGGGTGTCCAGAAAAACGATTTATTTTAAACAAAAAGTCACAAAAAATAACAAATTTTAAAAACGAAAATAACGAAAACCTTTTCACGAGTGAAATAAAAAAAATGGATTTCCATTTGAAAAAAATGATTTACGATAATTTTTTAATCGCTCAATTCCATGATAGCTGCGGCCATTATTATATGACATTCGGACAATTTAGTTTTTGAAATAGATATTCTTTATGGTACAGTAGCTGTGACAATCACTAAATTTGATTAGGCTATATACGTATTTTTGACAGGCAGCTTTTTTTTCCAAAAATTATAAATATTTTTTTTTCTCAAAAATGGTTAACTTTAGGTATAGAGTGTTTAATATTAAAATTCATAAAATTTCACAGAGAATTTATATATGTAATAAAAAATGGAGACACCCATTTAAAATAAGAAAGTTGATGTCAACTTCCGGAAGTGCCGCCATATTGAAAATATTTTTACCACAATAAATAGATAGATCTCGTTGTGAAACAATGATATGCAAAAAATCTCGGATGTAGATATTGTATTTCTCTAGAAACTTCTAATACAGGCTCAGCCTGGGACACCCTGTATAAATACTTGAATTTTGTCAACCATTATACATACGTCATTCAATTTTTACAAAATGTGTATTAGCCGCCCCGGGCCCCCGACAGGCTTAAGCTTGATTTTCATGCATCCATTGTCCGACGATACGATGATGCGATATTAATTTTATTGGTTGAATTTAAAGACTTCGATTGGTTAACCGTTTCTAACCAATCCAGAGTCTTTAAAATCAATAATAAAATAATATCGGACCATCGGACCATCGTATCAACTGATAACGGACGCATGAAAATCAAGCTTTAGTCCGCCACTGCAATTTTGTTCCTATTTTGGTTAGGCGCAGAATTTCAGTACGGTTCTTCTAGACAAGAAGAGATGACAAGGAGTATCTGAAATACATAATTTCTGTTTTGTGACTTTTTATTAACCTTTAGAATAAATATTATAGTTATAAACATGTGTTTTATTAAATTTATTAATATTTACTAATGCTTTGTGAATTTACAAAAGTAATTTTAAATTCATCATAATAACATGTTTTAATTTGTTGTTATTCTATAGTAATACAGTTACAAAAAGTTGGCGATTTTAAAAGATAAATTTACAATGAATAAGTGAATTTACTATGAGATACACATTTTTTAAATAAATTCACGAAGAATATTCAAGAATATAAGAACGAGTTGCAAAACTAAAGAATGGATAGTAATTTACTACAGTAATCTGTGGCAAGAAATAACCCTCAATATTGTTATTAAATTCACAAATTATATTCATTGTAACGTCTTCGGGAAGCATTTTACGGCATATGTTCATAGGAACTTTTTATTTTATTTTTATCCGTAGAATCATACACCAAAGCTAGATACACTAGATATTTTTGACACCCTGTATAATCCCATCACGACCCTAATTTTCATTCTTTACAGTATGTTTATTGTTAGTCAGAAATAAGTTGTTTTGATTTCACCCGGATCTTATATTCTTCTACCCGGATCTTACAATAGTTCCATCCGCGACAAAAGCCGGTCCTGGAGCTTAAGTAGATGGCGCCCGAGTGGCGAAAATACGTTTTGCTTGTACCGGTTGCGCCCAGCCGCCAGATTTGAGTCTCTAATGCCCGAAAATGCTTTTGTGACGCCGAAGGAGATGGCGGCGGGCGACGACGTGACGAACATTCACTTTGCGTCGTGGCGTAAGGCTCGTTATAAATTATGCAGCAGCATTTTCTGGATTAATATACATATTGTCGATGGAGCAGGAAAAGTAGACTTACGCGCTTTTCAAAGATGATAACTGAGCTGAATTTTTGCATAGAAAATTCAAAGTTATATCGTTACACAGTATTCTTCTTATGTGATATATTTTATTAAAAATTCACCATAGATATTGTTAACATAAATTTATTTATCTTGTTCTTTTATTAGTTCTGATACATAATAGTCTAAGAGCTAGCAACATTTTCTAGAAAGTATTTTAAGACGTCTGGCTCTTTGATATATATTTTACTATGCTCTCTGGAAAAGCATGCGGCCCGTCTGGTTGCCGATACCCGTTGCGTCAGGGCAAATACTTTTTTATTTTATTTTCGTTTATATTCTGATAGTAAAGTATTAAATAATTCTGGTGATTCAAAAAAAAACAAATATTTAATACACTTCCCCAATAAATTCACGCACCACAGAAAAATAACCAAAAGTTTGAGTTAAGTTTTTGTCAAAACCACTTATCCGATTTGGACGATTTTTTTTTGAATGATAGGTTATACTTTCCACAATGTTGCTATACTAACTGTATTTTGATAGGAACCCTTTTTATACTAATACCGGGTGTAGCAATTATAACGTGTTTTTTTACTAAAATTTGTGACACCCTGTAGAGTTGATCAGTTATAGTATCAAGTTAAACTTTTTTTTATATTTTGTTTTTTATTTACTCCATTATCTTCATTATTACACGAGAAACAACATTTTATAGGATGACATGATTTAATATTGGTTTTAATTAACATTTTTCCATTTTACTCACTAAAGTAAGTAGCAGGCTATGGAAAAACACGGATTACCAGTAAATGTCAAATAGAGATGCCAGTTTCTGTGCAAACTTGTAGACCATTAGTACCTCTGAGCTGAGTTTGAAGGGTCCGAGCTGTTACGAAACGTTGTCTTAATGTTGAGAGTTTTAAAAAGCGTTCCTGAATCGGATTGGTTCTTCGATTCCTGCCTTGTCCCGGCCTGCGACAATTACTCCCAGTATCTCTATACCGTTGTATAACTCGTGGAATGGTTGAGTGAGTTACATTAAATCGTTCACCAATTCTTCGGTAGCTCCAACCTTCCTCAGACAATATTAATGCTTGAGTACATTCTTCGCCAGTAAGATTTCTTGTTTCACGTGCAAGTTGCATATTTTTGATAAAATAAAAGGACGAAAACGACTGACACTGACAACAAGCATCTCTATTTGACATTTACTGGTAATCCGTGTTTTTCCATAGCCTGCTACTTACTTTAGTGAGTAAAATGGAAAAATGTTAATTAAAACCAATGTTAAATCATGTCATCCTATAAAATGTTGTTTCTCGTGTAATAAGGAAGATAATGGAGTAAATAAAAAAACAAAATGTAAAAAAAAGATAAGGCTAAAATGTGATTTCAATTTTAACTTGATACTGCTAACTGATCAACTCTGAGAGTAATCCTAAAGTTTATTAAATAAACACGTTATAATTACTACACCCGGTATTAGTATAAAAAGGGTTCCTATCAAAATACGAGTTAGTATAGCAACATTGTGGAAAGAATAACCTATCATTCAAAAAATCGTCCAAATCGGATAAATGGTTTTGACAAAAAACAACTTAAACTTTGCTTTAACTTATTGGTGGTGCAATTTTATTAAGGGAAGTGTACTTTACTATCAGAATATAAACGAAAATAAAATAAAAAAGTTTTTGTTCTGACCCGAATTCGAACTCTGACTCCTCGCTTTATAGGCGAAACCTCTACGTGCTGAGCTATGGAGACTCGGCTTATATTCAATACTAGAATTTAAAGGACTAATAAAAATATAGGATCTTCTTTCAATGCGCAGTAGGAAAAGCACCGTTTACCGGCAACCAGACGGGCCGCATGCTGTTCTAGAGAGCAAAGTAAAAGATATATCAAAGAGCCAGACGTCTTAAAATACTTGTTTTTCCGACGTTGCTAGCTCTCGTACTATAAGGTATTATAAACAATTTTCTTATGTGTATCGTTGGTTACGCATAACAATTTTTACGGGAAATAGATTATTTTTTGAATGTTTACGTTAGACCAACTTTAGGCCTCTGCTTTAGACAGTTATAGTACGAGAGCTAGCAACGTCGGGAAAACAAGTATTTTAAGACGCCTGGCTCTTTGATATATCTTTTGTTATGCTCTCTGGAACAACATGCGGCCCGTCTGGCTTCTCGATACCGTGCGTTCATTACTGCGCATCAAAGATCCTCTATTTTACTTAGCGCTTTAAATTCTACAGTATTAATAAAAAATCGAAGCAAGTCTCCATTAAGCTCAACTCGTAGAGCTTTCTTTCCTATGAATGAGTCAATGGTTCGAAGAACCGGCTGGGGGGTGCAACTTTTTTATTTATTTTTTTGTTTATATTCTGATATTAAAGTATTAAATATTTGCTTTTTTATCACCAGAACGGATGGCGCTTATGGGTTTATGATCCGTAGTGTATATAAGTAGAATTTGATACTTTCATTTGTTTTGAAGGATTATTGTGGTAATTAATTATTAGACAGGTTTAGGATGGTCCGGCTGCCGCGCCGGTAGGTTGCGTTCACTACTGCGCATCACATGTGTACAGGGTGTCGTTTATAATTTCATTTTAAAGATTTAAACATAATATATAAAAATTAACAATTTAATGCTTTATGAAGGTAATTTCTGCCTGTCTTTCTTCAAAATATTTTTTCAGCTGTTGTTTATTATTTTAATAATCATTTTAATAATACTTTTTTTAACAGATTGTTATCTAAAAGCTATACAAGTTTATTTTCAGTTCAGTTTGTTAAGATAACGATGGAAAACAAAATTATCTGGATAAATTAAATTAAATAAAATAATAATACTTTTTAAACAAGATTGATTAATGTTAATGTGTAGAAAATGAGCAAATCTAGGGGTAGAATATTAAGGATTACATAAAAACTAGCAAGAAATGTGAAAAAAAAACGCATCATTGTATCTCCACTCATAAACGAGAAATCCCAGATATCCCAAATCCCAAAAACGCACGAAAATGAGACACACCTTCTACCCATGTGATGCGCAGTGGTAGAACGCAACCTACCGGCGCGGCAGCCAGACCATCCTAAACCTATCTAATAATTAATTACTACAATAATCCTTCAAAACAAATGAAAAGTATCAAATTCTACTTATATACACTATGGATCATAAACCCATAAACGCTATCCGTTCTGGTGATAAAAAAGCAAATATTTAATACTTTGCTATCAGAATATAAACGAAATAAATATAAAAAAGTTGCACCCAGCCGGTATCGAACCACTGACCTTCGCTTCATAGGCGAAAGCTCTACGCGCTGAGCTAATGGAGACTTACTCGATTTTTATTCAATACTAGCATTTAAAGCGCTAAGTAAAAAATAGGGAATCTTCTTTGGATGCGCAGTAGTGAACGCAACGTGTATCGGCAGCCAGACGCACTGCACGCTGTTCCAGAGAGCATAATAAATGATATATCAAAGAGCCAGACGTCTTAAAATACTTTCTCGAAAACGTTGCTAGCTCTTAGACTATTATACTGAGGCCCTTAACAAATAAATAAAACGTATACCATGAAAATTTGTACATTTTAAATCGATATTTCTTTTTTTTTCATTGTTTTTATTTGCTTGACAGGTGGAAATATACCTTCTAAAACGTTAAGCATTTCGTTGGTTAGGCAAATTTTTTAAACTAGTAAAAAGCTTCTGACAATCTACTTTCTTTTTGGATTCAACACAGAGAGGTGTTTACAAAAAATAACTTTTTTATTTTGTAAGGATATTGGAAGGAACATTAGTGAAGGCAACTTTAATTTATTTTATTTTTCTTTGTTTCAGATTCTTCTACCTTTACCACTTCTTATTCTACGCCTACCACTACCGATTTAATGGTCAGTACAGCGGACTTACCCTTGTAACATCTTGGCTTTTTACACAGGTAAGCTTTACTTATTTTTTAACAGTTAATATCCTTCTGTATACAGGATGTCTCAGGTTAAGCGCGCATTCGAAGTGTCTAGAGAACTACAATATCTAAATCAGATATTTTTTGCTCATCATTGTTTCACAACGAGATCTATCGATTAAAAATATTTTCAATGTGGCGTCATTTCCGGAAGTACCGCAAGTTGACAGCAACTTTCTTATTTAAAATGGGTACCCCCATTTTTTATTACATGTTTAAATTCTGTATTTTGATATAATTTACTCTATACTTGACATTAACTGTTTTTGAGAAAAAAATATTTAAAATTAAAAAATTACCTGTCAAAAAAATCTATATAGCCTAAACGTCAAACATAGTGATTACCACAGCCATTGTGATATAAAGAGAAGACATGTGGCTATGTATTTCAAGAATTAAATTGTTCGAATGTCATATATTGGTCGTAGCTGTCATAGAATTGAACTATTAAAATATAATCATAAGTATTTTTTTTCAAATTGAAACCCACTTTTTTATTTCACTAGTGAAAATGTTTTTTAATTCGTTACTTTTTGATTATACATGTTCCTATCCCTAAAATAAATCGTTTTTAAGTTATTTAACATTTAGTTTTAAATCGTATATTTTTCTTGATTTTATCTAGTTTCCTTTGACATTAAGTGTACAAACAATCAGACTATATATTTCCTTCTATCAGAAAACTAATTATTTTTTGAATTTCGTATATTACCGATATATATGTAATATACTGCAACCTCTACTGTAGATTAATGAAATATTTGACTTCAAACTAACATTACCGATCTTTTTCTCTATCTTAGTTTTGGTATTCCCTTTGCTTGTCTCTCTTGTTGCAATGAATCTGTCAAGAAATCCGGGAAAACAGCCTTTCCGCGGTCCAGCGAGCCCATTTTTCCAGGAAAACTACTCTAAACACTCGCCATTTTACGCTGCCTTGGCTACGTACATTTCATCTTTCGTTTACATTTCTTTTAAGATCTTTCTTTTCCTCCTTCGTAATATTTTGTTGCGTCTCTAAAATCGGAAAACGTCCAAGACGGCAAAAAAGAAGCCTTATTTTATTTTATTTTTCGATGTAGTGTATTTTTTTTTTCTTTTTGTAGAAAAAAAATATTAGTATTTTTAGTTGTTAAATTTAAAAATAATTCGCAAATAACAGTATGTGTTAACATGTTAGTGATCGTAAACTAAAAAGTATAAAGTTTAATTGAAACTTTATACTTTTATAAAAAAAGAAAAGTTCTGAATGAAGCTTAAAAACAAAAAAAAAGAAATTTACAAGTAATATATACAGGGTGGTCCGAACTGTATTCCGGAAACTTCGGCAGCATATTCTGCAGATAAAAATAAGTAAAAAAGTTCGTATAAATATATGTCCTAAAATGCTTAGTTTCGGAGATACAGGGTGTAGAAGTTTCATTTTTATTTTGATTTTTTCCAAATAATTTCTGAAGTAACGTCAATATTTGGATCAAAATTTGTGTCTAGAGGTTTTTTGACATGAGAAATTTGATTTTGACGTCAATATGACTCCTACTAGTAGAGGGCGCCACCTACATGTGTTTTAACAGTTTTGAAGCGTAATAACCTTTTGTCCTTACCTGTATAAAACTACCGAGTGAAAAAATATACATCTCTGTGACTTTTTACGTAAAAAATATCCCTTTGTAAAATACACATGTACACATGTAGGTGGCGCCCTCTACTAGTAGGAGTCATATTGACATCAAAATCAAATTTCTAATGTCAAAAAACTCCCAGACACCAATTTTCATCCAAATATTGGATAATAATAATTGTAATAATAATTTTTACTTATTTTTATCTGCAGAATATGTAATAATGATTCTTTTGATTACAAACTCACGGATGTTTTTTTTGAAAAATGTTTCGTACTGATTTTAGAATTTGATAAACAAGTTATATCCTTAAAAAATTACACCGTAAACTTCTACAGGGCACGCGGCCGAGAAAGTTTTAAATAGTTTTTTTCTTTGTATTTTGTTTGCTTCCGACGACGCGACGGGAAGAGATATACTTTCCGAAACGTTAGGCATTTTTTGGTCCGTTAGGCAAATTTATTTAATAGTAAATCACTGCTAATAAGTTGGTCTCCGCTGTATTAACACAGCAGTATTTACAAAAACTAATTCTTTTATTTTGTAGATTTTCTTACAGTAATTTACTTATTTCGTTTTGAGCTATTTCTGGCTTCAATTCAATCAGCAATCGACGCAAAAAAGAATTAAAAAATATTGACTCAAAACTGACAACTAAAGAGACAGCTTTATTTATTTGTCAAATTACATAGAAACCAACGCCAACCCAGCACAATATTTTTTCTGCTCTTGTAAATTCCTTGAAATATTAATTTCTGAATATGTTTTAAAACTCGGTAACTCTTTTAGTCTGAACCAGCGTTGCCACCTCGGTTTCACGCAGTTCCGCTATGAATTTTCTGGTGATTTTTATAAATGTCTAATGTCTCTATAGAGGTACTAGATCTAACAATAAAAAGTACTCTTACGGGATTTACGTTTTTAGTTAAATTTTAGGACTAATAGGGGATCATGAGGTGAAAATACTGGAAATATGTCGGAACTTACTTATTAAAATTAATTTTTCTCGAGATTTTTTGAAAATGATAGGTACCTAGTTATACTCGTATCTATAGGAAAGGAAATTAATAAAACTTCAGTTGCACGTCATAATACGATCACCAGTAAATTCCATAAGATTACGCATGGTATCATTGATGAAGTGCACCCAAAGTTGTATTAATTTTACACTTTCTGAGTACTGAATAAAAAAATCTTATGAGGGTTTCTTTAAAATGGCGAAATCAGGGAACGTTATAAGTAGATCTCTCGAGGTGGTTCGGCCGTATTACTATTGGAATATATTTTAGATATATAATCGAGGGGTACAATATTAAATTAAAGAGAATATCTATCTAACCTGTAGATATTTGATATTGGGAATTTTTGGAAGCGATTCTAAAACGAAAACGGATAGTAAAAAATCGCCTGCAAAACGTTTTTCTTTAAATTTAGTACTACCTATTATAGTATTCATGGTTTTACTAATGTTCGTTAATTTTTATAAAGTTGCTTGTAATTCCTCTCTTAATTCCTGTGGAATTCCTCTAAATTTCTAAGAAATTCCTTGGAATTCATTGGAATTCTTACGGAAATAATTGGAATTCCTAGTAATTCCTATGGAATTCCTTGGAATTCCTCGTAATTCCTTGGAATTCCTGTAGAATTCCTTCATAGTGTACACCATAATTCCTCTGCGGTTTACCCCTCGGTTTTGAGCTATTTCTGGCTTCAATTCAATCAGCAATCGACGCAAAAAAGAATTAAAAAATATTGACTCAAAACTGACAACTAAAGAGACAGCTTTATTTATTTGTCAAATTACATAGAAACCAACGCCAACCCAGCACAATATTTTTTCTACTCGTAGTAAATTCCTTGAAATATTAATTTCTGAATATGTTTTAAAAAGTAACTCGCTATGGAAAAAAATATTGTTTTATACACGACGATAAAATTGCATTATCGTCTCCCAGTCTCCCGCAATTAATTCACTCAATGAATTAATCTTTTCGGTCGACGATAAAATACCATTTTATCGTCTTGTATAAAAAATAACTATCTTTTTCCCCGTTAAATAATTAGACTTGAAAATAAAACATCCAGTATGAGCCCGATAGTTCATTTGACGCCCTTCCGAACGCAAAATCAACCGAAACGACTGGGAAGGGCGCCCCCCGCGGCTTCTACGTGGTTCACTCTGTTTATTCCGTCGGGGAAATCGACTCCCACTCTTCCCCCATTTTCACCCCCCGGTGGAACGCGTGACGTGTGGACTGACGGCGGGGGGGGACGACATGTCGCCGTCGGCTAAATTGCCGCCCCCCGTCGATTGCTTAAGTTATTTTGCTCGTTGTGTATAGAGAAAAGGGTTGCGGAGGAGGTAAAGCATACGGTATAGGATCTTAAAGACGAGGTCAAAGGACTGACGATTCGAAGAGACGTTATTGTGAGAGTTTAATTTTTTATATGGTGCGATCAACAATGATTGAAATAAAATAGATGGCTGTACTGATGTAGCTCGTTTGAAGAACTCCAGGTGCGAGTGAAAGAAATACACTTTAAGATATACTCTCTTCAGTCCTTCACCCTGTGTGAGATAATGGTGACATCATGTGTTGATTTCTGTCGCTTCCTCGGACCAAGTTGTTCGACACTGCGCCATATGTGAGGCTTCGGGGAGGTTGTGGCCACTCCTGGCAATATGGCCAATAGATACAGTCAAATAGAAAGAGAAACACTTGCAGCCACACGATCAATTCAACATTTTCATTTATATTTATATGGGTCTGTATTCACTTTACACACTGATCATTTGCCATTATTGCAGATTTTATAGGATAGAAAATCAATCAGTGTTCCTATAGAGAGATTATGTTTACGTATACACAACCATATGAATTTAAAGTTGTGTATCAAAGATATCCAAATATAACACATAATGTTGATAAGAAAATTGATTTGTATGTACAGGGTGGGTCAAATTCGACGCTTTTAAATGGAAACACCCTGTTCTATAGGAGATAGACAAAAACTAATATCGGTGTCTGGAGCTCAATTTTTGTCAAAAATATGATGGTGAAAACCGCATATCGATATCTGTTACCGTTTCGGAGTTACGGGGTGTTTTTCAAAAATATGCATTTTTAACAAATCGCTGTAACTTTTTTGCTATGAAAAATTTTGTATTTTTATTAAAACATTTCCAAAGCACCCTTTTACGTAGAATTTAATGGTTTAAGTATAATCTTTTTAAAATTAATAATTTAAGAATGATCAACAGAAAATTTGTTTTTTTATATGGGACACCCTGTATATTTTTAATTTATTGGAAATAATTTAAAATTACCTTTCCAAAAATATAACACACTTGATACTTTGCTCGATTCCTCTTCGAGATATAGAGTATATAAAAATTCGCCCGCTTTCAATAAGTAGGCTTTGAACGGCACAGGCTGTAATGCAAAAAAATTCTAGCTGTGAGCATCAATTAAAACGAAAATAATATTTGCTATGAAAGATGCAGAATTCTATAATAATTTAAAATATATTTAACCAACATCAACACATTTAAACTATATCTAATAACAATAAAAATAAATAGCAAACCAAGACATGATATTTTGCTACAGGTGTTCGACATATCGACCGTCTTCTGTTATGGACAGACGAGGCAGTTTTTGAACATTTCTCGCGGAATTCATTGATTCAGTGGGGGTGAAAGATACCCTCTTATTATTTCTAATTCTTGTCTAGATTATACGGAAGAATAAGGAATCTTTATTCTTCCGCAAATATATATCCATAGGATTAGATCCATGGGCACTAAGTCAGGCGACCTCGACGGCCAACGGCTGGGATCTTGGTTAGCTATTCAATTATTCTTGAAATTGGTTGCAAAAATTTGCTGATAACTTCAGCGTTCTGGGGCTGGAAAAATATGTTTTCGAGTTCCATTAAGGGCATATCAATAAGGGGTCCATAGCTTACTAGTTAAAAGTGGCGAACTTTAAAAAATTCTGTATTTCGAAGGGGATTATAACAAAATATCAAGTGTGCTATATTTTTGGAAAGGCAATTTTAAATTCTTTTCAGTTAATTAAAAATATAGAGCGTGTCCCAAATAAAAAATCAATTTTTCTGTTGATAACTCTTAAATTATTAATTTTAAAAAAAATATACTCCAACCATTAAATTCTACGTAAAAAGGTGCTTTGGAAATGTTTTCGTAAAAATTCAAAATTTTCCATAACAAAAAAGTTACAGCGATTTGTTAAAAATGCACATTTTTGAAAAACACCCCGTAACTCCGAAACGGTAACAGATATTGATATGCGGTTTTCACCATCATCTTTTTGATGAAAATTGAGCTCCAGACACCGATATTAGTTTTTGTCTATCTCCTATAGAAAAGGGTGTTTCCATTTAAAAGCGTCGAAGTTGACCCACCCTGTACAATTTTTAGTTAGAAACAGTGTGGACAAAAGCAATAAATGTAGAAATTATGGACGAATCAAAAAATGACACAGTAATTTCATTGTTGATTCAAGCTTATTACTCATCAAACAATACTCATCATTATTCTAAGAGCTAGCAACGTTTTCGAAAAAGTATTTTAAGACGTCTGGCTCTTTTATATATCTTTTACTATGCTCTCTAGAACAGCATGCGGCCCGTCTGGCTATCGATACCCGTTGCGTTCACTACTGCGCATCGGAAGAAGATCCTATATTTTTTTATTAATTTAGTCCTATAAATTCTAGTATTGAATATAAATCGAACATGTCTCCATAGCGCAGTGTGTAGAGTTTCCGACCACCAACCGATGATTTAGAGTTCGAATCCGGGTCAGGACAAAGACTTATTTATTTTATATTCGTTTATATTCTGATAGTAAAGTATTTTACCGGCAGCCAGACGGGCTGCATGCTGTTCTAGAGAGCATAATTAAAGATATATCAAAGAGCCAGACGTCTTAAAATACTTGTTTTTCCGACGTTGCTAGCTCTCGTACTGGACAGATTATTTAAGGTTACCCTGTATAGTTTGAATGCTGGTTAACCTAAATTAGCTTTAATCTATTTTCGAAATAGTGTCATGTAATGACATTTCGAACGTCAATGACTTTAAATTCCGAAAATGCCGAAAAATGGAGAAAAAAATCCGCTTTTTGTCGATATTTCTTACGACCTTTCGATACAGTTTTCAAGAAACATGACGAACTTTTTCTATATCGGTGTTTTTTCCATTTGCAGCACTCGATGATCTACTTTTTCCATCACTACGAATTGCCGGTGATTTTACAACAGGAACAGCTTCAGCGGTTTATAAGGACAAGTCAACAGCAACCAGCACCGCCTAGAGATGGCCCTACAATTGGAAATGGTACCCTGCCAATAATCAGGTAAATAATATGTATGTTACAGTAAACATCTTAAAACAGTAAATGTTAACTATTATTGGTACTGATGAACAAATCGTCAGTGAAATGTGATAAACTGCTAACTCCATTATTCATAATTTTACAGGCGAGCAAAAAAAAGGTACAAAAAGATATATACACATGTAGAAAGTATTTTCATGCGTTAATATGATAAAGAGATAAGAATTTTATTTGCTGGGGAACAATAAAACTTAATATTTCGTGTTACATGTCATTTTTTTCAGACACAATAGGGAGATAGCAGATATTCGTCTTGCAGAAATAGGAAATAAAAATATTCTTCTGGAGATAGCAACCTTTATTGTTTAAAATTTTGAAAATGGAATTGAATATTACCCAAACAGATTTAGAAATAATCAATTAAATTTAAAAAATATGATATTCATAATCATATATATGTTATTTATAATATCGTCGATCTAGAAGCAAAACATACAAGTCCAAAAACGAATAAATTTTTAATGCATTGTTAAAGAACTGAAATAGCAACATTTTGGACTTAACGAATATGAAAATAATTTAAAAATTAAACTTATAATTCTTAGAAGATATGGTAGAATCCTTCCATGCTTATCCCAATTTTGATACAACGGTAGTAGACCGAGCTTGGAAAACAGTGCGTGATTTTATTAAATTTTGATTACTTTTCTATTTATTTTTTTAATTTTTATAAAAATTATGTATCATTTGCGTGGAAAAACATTGAAAAAAATAAAACTCATTAGGTATTATGGAAATTCCTGTACAAGTAAGTAACGGTTATGTAAACTATTTATAGCACGACGATGAATTGGTTGTATATACAGAATTTCGTTTTTCCCCTTACCCGTTACAGATACCCAGTATTTACAGAACGGATCGACGCAGGGTCGGACTAGCCATATTATATATATATATATATATATATATATATATATATATATATATATATATATATATATATATATATATATATATATATATATATATAACTATTAGGGGGGCCCCAGCCTTCGCGGGCCCCCTTTATAGTTCATTATTTATTGTTAACAACTTTTGCTTTTGCACTGCATTATGGCATTCGCATTGGATTGGTTTATCTTGCATTAGGGTAGTTCCTTGATTTCTATACAGTGTGAGTCTTAAATAATTGCAAATATTTTCAAGGCTGGTAAATCTCGATAAAAGAAACATAATATTTTCTTTTTACCGATTTTTGAAATAAATCCAAAACAACCTAATTATTTCGCTTTTAAAATTTCTAATTTTTTTGCTATAATTTTGAGAATCATTGGATTTTCTTTCTTGTAAATTTAATCTACTACCTATGTTGCCATATTACAAAGAAAGTATGTTTTCAACTAAAAATTGAAAAAATTTCCATTTTTTTTTAAAATTCCAAATTTTCAAAAAAGAAAATTTCGCGCAAAAAACCTTATAATCGTGTTTCTTGGGTCGAAATATACTACTCCTAAAATATTTGCACTTATTTAAAAGACTCACCCTATATATAATAGGGAAAAATTGGCCAAAACGTAAGGCGAAAAAATACGCAAAAAAATCCACACGGGCCCCTCCTTCCATTGCTACCCGGGCCCCTTTAGCCTAGTGCGACCCTGGATCGACGTACTGCACTAAAGAATCATACGAGTAAGAATCCGTTATTTGGTTTAGCGTGATCGTGACGGAAATTACGGAGATAGCAGCATTTCGGTGGCTATTTCAGATCACTGGGAGTTAGCAGATATTATTGAGTAAAATAGCAAATTTCCTTTAATGGGAAAAAATGTATTTGCTTTCCCTACTTATAGAGTATTTTTTTCTCTTTCTAATGGTATAAAAAAACTTATTCACATAAAAAATGGAGTTACCAGCTTATCACGTTTCACTGAGGAAATGCTAGATCATGATCAAGACTACTCTTTTAAGTTTTGCAGTTGTTTAATAGATTTTTACTAGATGCACGTTTTACAATCACCGGCACGAAAAACTGACACCTTAAAATTTTCATGTAATTTATAGTTTTATACAGGGTGCTACAAATTCGAGGTACGAGCATTGGTATCTCGGTAATCGTAATAGATACGAACATGGTTAAATTGGGACAAAGTTGCGTATTGGGATGTTCACCAAGATGTCATCAAAAAAGTTTTAAGAATTTCAAGAATTGCTGAGTTTTTTGGAAAAAACGGATTTTTTTGAAAATGAATTTTATTTTTTCCTGTCGTTACTTTTAAGAAAATCAAAAAACTAATTGCACATTCTCATTGCCACTTTATTAGGGCTATCTGATAGTATTTTTAGATTTTCAAATTCGCTGATAATTTGTGAGATACAGAGGCCAACTTATTTTTTTAATACGGACCTGCATTTTTTATTTCAGATTTTAAAAGAACTCGTTCTCTTGAGTACAATGATATGCCACACTTTATACTTTTTTTTGTTTTGTGTACCTTAATAATAATAATAACAAAACTATTTAATTATTATTTAAAATAATTTCAAGTCCGACTCTGTTTTTTAAATTATTTAATCTGATTATATGCATTGCAACAATATTGATTAACGCTAATTAACATTAATAAGGAAAATTAAATCCCTAACCAATTGGGAAATACAAATTATATCCAGGTCAGGCAATTTAAAGATATCATTTTTAACTTTTTTTATTGTTAATTTGAAATCTCAGTGTGCGATCTAATAATATGCGTAATATTAATCGTAGTTATTATAAATAAATCAACTTCTTCAAACTAGTTTCTAATGCTCTACATGTTCGAAAGGGTTACCACCCTCCCTATTGCACAAATTTATTTTTCCTTCAGTTTTATTTATAGCTCTTTGAACTTTCTTCTTATACTTCCGAATGTATTTTGTACCCTTTATTGTAAATGTTGAGATGTATTGATTTCACTTTTACAAATGACGTCAAGTAAATGTATTCATTTGTATATTATTCTTTATTATTTTATTACATTTGATTTTCCATATTCAATGTTTTACTCCACGTCATTGTTAAGTTTGAAAGCTTATCAATATTGTAACGATGAATAGATTAAATATTAAAAAAAAACAGAGCTGGATTTGGAATTAGTTTAAATGAATTGTGTTCAAATGTCCGAAAAAAAAAATTAAGTGTGGCATATCATTGTACTCAGGATATCGAGGTTTTTCGAAATCTGAAATAAAAAATGCAGGTCCGTATTTAAAAAAAAATAAGTTGGCATCTGTATCTCATAAATTATCAGCTAATATGAAAATCTAAAAATACTATCAGATAGCCCTTATAAAGTGGGTATGAGAATGTGCAATTAGTTTTTCGATTTTCTTAAAAGTAACGACAGGAAAAAATAAAATTCATTTTTTAAAAAAAATATTTTTTCCAAAAATCTCAGCAATCCTTGAAATTTTTAAAACTTTTTTGATGGCATCTTGGTGAACATCCTAAAGCGCAACTTTGCTCCAATTTATCTATGTTTGTATCTATTACGGTTACCGGGATACCAATGCTCGTACCTCGAATTTGTAGCACCCTGTATATTGTTTTCTTGTAGACCGATTCTGATGATCTTTTAAGCAGTTTGTAGCTAATTTATTTGACTTTTTAGTATCTCTTCCTAAATTAAAAATGAAAGTATCCGTCTGTCAATTATACGAGGGAACACAAAATGTTGTTATTTTGGTGAAAGTTTGTAACACCCTCTGGAATATGTTAACAAAGCAAGGAATTTAAAAGTCATTTTATCATCTAGGTGTATCTTTATTTTGTGTGTCGATAGTTTATGTTTTTTGTCAATAGTTTTTTTTTGAAGATAATCGCTTTTGAAGAAGACACTTACATTTGTTCGTAATTTTTACATTAAAACCATGCCTTTGCTTTTAGCCCTAGACAACAGACCTGTAAAATAGTGTTTATGATTTATGTAGTGTCACTGCCTTTGAAAAATCATATTATTATTGTCTGTTGGACAGTTACTCTAGCAGATATGGTTTTAAGTCCACAAGTTAATATCTACCATGATGTATTAACCCTTAATTGGTCCGGCGTCGTCTGACAGACTACGCGAAATAATTAACTGAGTTTCATTAGTTACTGGGACCGCCCATACGATTAACGTTCTAGCTAATCCTGCCCCTCTAGGTCAACAACTGATAGCCATATTTGTGTCCAAGGTGCGTTAGTTTTTTAGAAGTTCTGGAAGAAGTTACTGAAGCCGTAATCTCGCAGACGACGCCGGACCGTTTGTGTAATATTTTATGTTTGACAAATTTTTGTAAAATATAACCGGATCTTCAAAAAAGAGTGCATTTAGGAGACTCTAGTTATGAGGAAACTCTATTAAAATGATATGATGAGGATTGTCACCTACTGTGAAAGTGACAATACGACAATCTGCCAGACAAATGCGTTTGACAATGTCAAATATTCCACGTAGAATACTTTCAATTCCTGTACAACCAGAAGACGGCTACTGGAGATATTTTTATCCTAGAGTTCTTATCCTAGTCAAAGACAATGTTATGTCCTAGTTAATTATTTTTATTGCCTGGAATGTACGAATCCATTATTTAAAACATGTTCAGGAAAACAATGAAATTCGCCTCATGCTGTAACTAAAACTTTTTCTTTAACTCCAGTTTTATAACTTATTTTTTTACCATATAGTATTAAAAACTTGTTTCTATACTGTAATGACTGTTAGTAATTTGGTTTTATTTTTAGAGTTTAGTAAAAATCTATATTGTTTTTTTTTTAAATTTATATGTATGTTATTTTATTTTGTACTATATTTTCTGAAAGTTTGTATCAATTGAACCCATTTTTGTCTAGATTAGTTTAATAATACATAATATAATATATAATGAAGTAAAAATTGTTATTTTTTAGTTTTTGTGTGTTTTTTAACGTTTTAGAAGACGTAGTCATACAAACTACGCCGGACCGTTTATGATACATATCTATTACCGGACCAGTTAAGGGT